TAGCCATTACGCTAACTGCTGGTCCCTATTTATTCATTTTTTTTAGAAAAATTTAACTAGAGAGAGAGATGGAAAGTGAGAAAGCAAGCTGTCAGATCCGGGACTTGAACCATGGTCTGTCATGTAGGAGTGTCTAGTGCCTTAACCACGATGCCCCCTGCTGGTCATGAGCATCATGTTTTACAGCTGTGTCACTGTCCAGGCCCCTGGACATGCTAAGTTTGAGTTGTCTATTGAACAATCTAAGTAGAGATGTCAAATGGGTAGTTGGATACGTGAGTATGGATTTCAGTGAGAGATCTTGGCTAGGAATGGGAACTTGGGAGTAGTTAGCTTAGCGCCAGTGAGCAAAGACACCAGGCTGCATGAGATCATGAGAGAGTGGGTAAAGGTAGAAAAGACAGAGGTCTAAGGATTGAGAGCGGAGGTTGCGAACACAGTTGGGAAGATGAGGGGAAAGCCGGGGAGACTAAGGAAAGGGAGCCTTGCAGGAGGTAGAGAAGCTGGGAGGTGAAGAATAGCCCCAGAAGCCTCGGAGGCAACTGTGTCAAATGCAGTTTGCAGAGCCAGTGAGATGAGGACTGAGAACGAACTGCTGTACTTGGCTTTGGTGACCTTTACAAGAGAGATTCTGGAGTGGTGGGTGAGAGTGGGTTCAAGAGGAAATGGGAGGAGAGGAGGTGAGGACAGCGATCAGACAGATGTTTGTGAAGAGTTTTCAGTAAGGGCGAGCAGAAAAAATGTAGCTGGAAGAGAATATGGAGTTGAGGTAAGTTGTTTATTTATTTATTTATATATTTTTTAGAGGTTTTTGCAATAGGGCACGTGCACTCGCCAGACAGAGAGAGAGACAGAGACAGAGAGATAGAAAGCGAGAAATCACCCCCCGGGAGGGATGGTCACGCCACAATTCCTTCTCCTCCATTCTCCTCTTGGGATCTTGGGCACGCACGCACACGCGCCAGGCGTGAGTTTAAGCCACCAGGTCCAGGACGCGAACCGCGGTCGACTATGTGGGAGTCCAGCG